TTGATTTTTGTGACCACAATTACAAACCGCCTCCAGAGAGCCTGTTCTACACCAGATCAGTGGAGCCAGACTGCAGCTAGAGCCCATCATCATCCTCATATGGTTGTAAGTAGGCAATCTAGTATATTATTCGTGGCACTAATCTCTAATTTACCTCACATTAAAGAAACACTATAGTCCCCAGAACCACTGCAGCTTAATGTAGTGGTTCTGGTGTCTATAGCCTGCCCCTGCAGGCCTTTTAATGTAAACATGGCGGCACTGCGGCACTGGCGTTAGTTAACATGGCAGATCATATGGGTGGGGCATTGTGATGTCACATGGGAGGGGGCGGCAAAATTTACTTTTGCCTCGGGTGGCAAAAATCCTTGCACCGGCCCTGCTACCACCTCCTACAAGAGGATGCTCAGAAATTCCAATGCCAGACAAATCCTGGGTAACCCCAAACCTGTCGGCCCCAGAAATACCCCCATTCACGGCATTCCCTGTCACCACTGTAATGGTGGATGCCTGTGAGCCAGTAATATATTTCAAGCAGTTTATGTCGGAAGACATATTTTAGCTAATGATTGAGCAAACCAACTTTTTTGCCAACCAGTATCTGACTGCGATTCCAGGGTCACATTAGAATAGGAGAAATATGTGGCACCCAACGGATGTTGCGGAAATGCGCAAATGTTAGGCACTAACCCTAGTTGTGGGTATTGTAAAAAAGCAGAGTATCAGGTCCTACTGGTACGTGCACCCCATCCTGGCTACCCCGCTTTTCCCACGGGTTATAAAGAGGGATAGCTATGAGCAGCTGCTCCATTTCCTCAATTTTACTGATAACACACGCATTATCATCAAATAACGACGCATTGTTTGACAGGCTCTACAAAACTCGGCACCTTATCCAGCTCCTGTTAGACCTGGTAGCTGTAGTCCTCGGTGTTGTATTACCAATTAAAAGTTTCCCCTGGTCTTTGCTGGTTTATGCTGGGATTAAATTCTAAAATCAAACCAATTTTGACTAAAGTTGTTACAGGAGAAGTTTTAAACTTACTTTAAAAACGTTTGAAAAGGTCATATTATAAAGACGTGTCTTCAAGACCTTCAAGTAATCACTTAATAAGCAGTCTTTGTGGTGACAGTCTTAACACACACTGACTATCTGCAGGTATTTTCTCCTCAGCAAATGTGTAAAGTGTGATGTTACCCAGTGATAACTTCTGGAAGAAATGACACTCTGCTGGACATAAGAGTGCTGCTAATGCAAGAGTGTTTTTTGCTTACCACTATTACTCAACTCACTATCAGAGAAGTAATAGTTCCTTCTTAAGGTATATTTCCATGACAATACTAGTAAAAAAACTTTTTTTTCTTATTTATTGAGTGCTCTAACTACCATGTTTAATTGCACTGTGGTACACTTTATTTGTGTGTTTGAGTGATCCACACAGGTGATAGCAGCACCAAACATTCATTAGTTCCAATAAATTGTATTTTATTATACTCAAAAATCATGCGAATCCTTTCAGCCGTTCGAGAGTTAGCTTGAAGTCTCCTTTGACCGGCCGACCGCACATTTCCATGCCCAAAACAGTTCCACAGATTTAGGCTGTGCGGCTTGTCTATTCATCCCAGTTCAAATATAATTCGAATGCACGAACGTGTGCCATTCGTGCAAATAGCAATGTTAATGTGGCGTTCGAATTGTCAAACGCCGTTCGACTCCATTCAAAATGTGAAAGTTCCAAAAGAAGGTAAAACTTCAGCGGTGTTCGTGACGTCAGATATCCGAATTTGGTTCCATGAACTCGACGGCAAAACACCGCTGACCGCATTCGGCTAAATAAAAATGGCCGCCGCCACGAAGTGCCATAGCAACAGTGCAGATCCTTTCCACAGAGTATTTAAAGGGGCAGAACAAGGGTATTAAAATCCCATAAGCCCAATAAGGGTTTTTAAACAGCAATACCCCCAGGGGCCATAGTCACATGGCAAGAGGCTGGCAAACAGGCCCCTCCAAAAAACAGTGGTGAGGTCACGTTTGCCACACCCAGGCCCCCAATCCCTTTGGAATTCGAAGATGTCCAAAGACTTTTTCACAAACATTTTCCTACCCCACCCCTCTCACATGCTGTAAAAGATCACCTCAGAGAAAGTGCAGGGTTTGCTGGAACAGAGGAGTCCAAAAGGACTCCAGTTATTACTGCCTTTCATGTCCATCTCTCCCTGCCACCCTCTGCATAACAAACTGTTATAAAGTCTACCCATACTGAGCTGAACTATTTAATCGCTCTGTATAAGACTTTGGTAGTTTTTTTTTTTCTGGATTTCTGACCCTCGACTTCTCCTGAGTGCACTTTGTTAGCTGCCTGTATTGGATGGGATAGGCTGACCTACAAAAGCACAGATCTGATTCCCCCGCTGGCTGGCCACCCCCTCCTCTTTGGGCTGGCAAGGGTGATCCCGGTCCACACCCTGACGGCGTCCCAAATCCAATGGGAAAGTGAGGTAAAGACACACTCAGCAACACCATCACAGGCGATATGCTGTGTCCAGAGATGTATCCAAACTGGACACAATATTTGAACATTTCTGGAGGAGGCTGAGATGCCAGGAACAAAGGCTTGCTTCACAACCCACACAAGTTCACCCACCTGAACAGGAGCGTTGACGGCACCAGAACAAGACTCCAGCCCGTCGCAGCGCCCGATGACAAAGGCAGGAACTGCATCGGCAGATCTTGCGGAGAGCGGGGTACCAGCGGAGCACAAACAAGGCAGGTCTGGAGACCCCAAGATGGGATGAAGTTAGGAGGGGAAAGCAGCAAGCGACATGGGTGCTTCCAAACCATCAAATCACTGCACCAACACCACCTATGTCACCACGCTTGCGGAGCTGCGCCATATTGAGGGTCTGTGTCCTGCCGTTAGCAGGAATAGGCTGAAAGCCCTGTTCCAACTACACTGGCTGAATTCGGGTGGAGCTCTGATCTGATTGATTACTGCTGTTCCTGTCTACTTTCACTGAGAGCACTGTTTGTTTTTCTTATGTTAGTCTAGCTCAAAAGTCCTGCCTTATTCTGGACAGTTACTTTTAATTGTGGAGCTGGTTGGGGTATTAAAAATCTTGTTTAACATCTAAGCATGTAATCTTTAGCAGAACTTCAAAAATCAGTTTAATTTTTCATATTTTATTCATATTAAATTAAGTTTCATATCTAAATATTTTGTATGAAATGAAAGCCCTGTTTCACCTGAACAAAAAAGACATATAATAAGTGTGGGTGCAATTAATATAACAAATAGTAAATAATGGTTAAAGGAACACTATAGTCACCTAAATTACTTTAGCTAAATAAAGCAGTTTTAGTGTATAGATCATTTCCCTGCAATTTCACTGCTCAATTCAATGTCATTTAGGAGTTAAATCACTTTGTTTCTGTTTATGCAGCCCTAGCCACACCTCCCCTGGCTATGATTGACAGAGCCTGCATGAAAAAAAAAAAACTGGTTTCACTTTCAAACAGATGTAATTTACCTTAAAATATTGTATCTCAATCTCTAAATTGAACTTTAATCACATACAGGAGGCTCTTGTAGGGTCTAGCAAGCTATTAACATAGCAGGGGATAAGAAAATCTTAATTAAACAGAACTTGCAATAAAGCCTAAATAGGACTCTCTTTACAGGAAGTGTTTATGGAAGGCTGTGCAAGTCACATGCAGGGAGGTGTGACTAGGGGTTATAAACAAAGGGATTTAACTCCTAAATGGCAGAGGATTGAGCAGTGAAGCTGTATGTTCTATACACCAAAACTGCTTACAACGATGATATCGCCAGTAAAAGTGACGTTTTTTGCATTTTTCACGCACAAACAGCACTTACACGGACGATATTATTGCTGCGATACTTTTTACTGTTTTGAAACACAAATATTTGTGTTCAGCTAAGTCTCCCGAGTACAACAGTACCCCTCATGTACAGGTTTTATGGTGTTTTCAAAAGTTGCAGCGTCAAATATAAGGCTTGCGTTTCATTTTTTTCACATTAAAATTCGCCAGATTGGTTACGTTGCCTTTGAGACCCTATGGTAGCCCAAGAATGAAAATTACCCCGATGATGGCATACCATTTGCAATAGTAGACAACCCAAGGTATTGCAAACAGGGTATGTCCAGTCTTTTTTAGTAGCCACTTAGTCACAAACACTGGCCAAAATTGGCATTTTTTGCATTTTCACACACAAACAAATACTAACGCTAACTTTGGCCAGTGTTTGTGACCAAATAGCTACTAAAAAAGACTGGACATACCCCATTTGCAATACCTTGGGTTGTCTACTATTGCAAATGGTATGCCATTATGGGTGTAAATTTCATTCCTGGGCTACTATACAGTCCCAAAGGCAACGTAACCAATCTGGCGAATTTCAATTTCAAATGTAACGTGCTATATTTGACCCTGTAGCTTCCCAAAACGCCATAAAACCTGTACATAGGGGGTACTGTTTTACACGTGAGACTTTGCTGAATACAAATATGTGTATTTTATTGCAGTAAAAGCAAACAGTATTATGACATTGACAGTTAAAATGTCATGTAGAACTAAAAAAAATCAAAACAAATCTTATTTTCTCCCATTTTTTTCATATTAAATTATGTTTCATAGCTAAATATTTGATATTAAATGAAAGCCCTGTTTCCCTGAATAAAATGATATATAATAAGGGTGGGTGCATTTACTATGAAAGAGGTGAATTACGGTTGGACAGACATGTAGCGCAAATGCAAGGTTTTGTTTACATTTTGTTTTGTTCACCACGTGTACATTTGGCTCCGTCCTTAAGGGGTTAAGGAATGAGCCAAATGTACACGTTGTGATCAAAATAAAACGTAAACAAAAACTTTAATTTGCGCTATATGTCTGTTCAGGCGTAATTCGCCTCTTTCATTTTATGTGCACCCACACTTATTATATATCATTTTATTCAGGGGAAACAGGGCTTTCATTTAAAATCAAATATTTAGGTATAAAACATAATTTAATATGAATAAAATATAAAAAAAGGGAGAAAAGATTTTGTTAACAAAAAATGTTTAGTTCTATGTGACATTCTAACTGTGAATATCCTAATATTGTTTGACTTTACTGCAATAAAATACACATTTGTATTCAGCGATATCTCACGTGTAAAACAACACCCCCTATGTACAGGTTTTATGGTGTTTTGGGAAGTTACAGGGTCAAATATAGCATGTTACATTTTTTTCACATTGAAATTCACCAGATTGGTTACATTGCCTTTGATACCGTATGGTAGCCCAGGACTGAGAATTGCCCCCATGATGGCATACCATTTGCAATAAGAGACAACCCAAGGAATTGCAAATGGGGTATGTCCAGTCTTTTTTAGTAGCCACTTGGTCACAAACACTGGCGTTCTTTCCTTACTAGTTCATTTAATTTTTGCATTTATTTTTTCCTGTTTTATAAGGAAACAAAAAAATTAAAACTAGGGATAATTTCTAGGCTGAAACCAAGACCATGTGAAAGGTTTATATTTACACATATTATTGTAAATATGATATAAAAAATACCTGCCACAAGAATAGGCTTCCTGTTAATGGGATTGCCTCAACAAGGGTGAATAATGAATACTTCTACTGTTAATATAGCAGAAAAATAGCAGCTGCTGCTATGGTTTTATTCCCAATAATATTGCAAAAATGTTATACAGATTCAAATCTTTAACTGTTAATCAAAATACATTCTGAATAACCAAATTTATTTTTACAGTTTGAAAATATTTCACTGTTATTAAATGAAGCAAAGTGTCAAACGCTGAAACCCCACAGCAACAGAAAAATCCAGCTTTGAATTTACTTTGTGTGGTGGTTACAGAGTCAGCACTAAAAGCTTCATCACACAAGATTAATAAAAAATACAAGAGGGGCATTTTACAATTCCAGTTATTTAAAATTACAAACAAGTGCTTTGAATTTATGAAATACGAAAGTAATTAAAAAAGAATCTCAAGAATTATTTTCAGTATCCCTATTAGGATAGTCCTCAGCACAGATTCTTCCTCCTGAGATGTATCAAGTGGTGTCTGTCCCTGCTTTTTTTGACTTGCTTCTACATCTTCGGGATCAAAAGAAGCATCAGCATAAGGATCCTCATGGATGGTTTGGTCATAAAATACTTGCAGTTCAAATTCGCTTTCCAGATAAGAGGGATGGCCATAAATTCCTATGCCCACTGGACGACTGAAATGATCTGGCACCGTAATCGTATCAAGCCCACAGGTTGTTGATTGCAGCTCATATTCATCGAAACTTGGATGAAGGTTTGAAGCAGAAATGTAAATATCAGCATCACCCCGAAGGCTATACATTTTGAGTATTATCTTTCCTTCATGGTTTAACCTAAGATAACTGTAGTTCCCTGCCCCTATTTGTCCCTGGATTACATGAAGGAGCATCCATTCGTCTGGAACTTCCTCATCTGTTATGCATTCAATCAGAAAAAATTTGCAAGTTGCTAGAAGGAGGAAAAGCATTCTTCTCCAGTGTGCCACCATTTTTCTTCCTGGCTTGACATCAATTTCCTGTGGCAAGAAATAAGTGAGATTAGTAATCTGCCTGATGATGTGCATCACATAGGAAATGAAAGGTTATATAGAAATCTTTTACAGTACATTTACGTGGCATAAATCGTACACTATGATGAAGATGCATCTTTATGTTCAATTCGAGATTTGGTGCATCATTTTTGGAATGTTAAAGACAAAACTATTTTTCAAAATGTTTGTTTAGAAGATTTTTTGATTTTTTTTTTTAAATCTGATCCTAACATACTATTTCAACTATTTTGTGTGAATTGTTGTTAATTTGCATTACAAATTGTAGACCAAAATAGCCAAACTAGAAAAAGTCATCAGGTCAGATACATTTACATATTTTGTGGCCACAATGTACTAAATCATGTGCACGAGCTAACTTTATCTTAAGCAGCAGGGCTGGAATTTTGTTAAGCACTTCTCTCCCTGCTGCTTCATCCTGTTTCTGACCCTGCCTTGGCTCCAAAATGGTGGCATAATCAGCCAGTCCATCCAAGCATTTGGTAAATATTTATCGTTATCTCTGTGGCATTATAGTTTCTTTTTGGCTACTGTAGTTTAAAATATTAAATTCTTTGACTTCTAAACGAGTTTCACTTTTGTCAATAAGTTATGATGAATAAACACCAGTGAATTGTGGTTAACTGAATTTAAAATGGATTTGCAAAATTTAGGCCGAACTAGCACAGTTGAAAATTTCCTCCACCTTATATCCTTTTCCAGCAATGGCCTCAATTTAATAAACTCTATTCTGCAGCCAGTTCTGTGACTTTGCATTATATACAGTGTGTTTGTGTAGTGTGTTTATATATATAATGCAGTGTGTGTGTGTGTTTCTGTAGGTATGTAATATGGGGGTAGGGGTATTTTTTATTTTTAAATATTTAATAATTATTATAAAAAAATTTAGTCCCCCCTCCCTGCTTGTTGCCTGGCCAGGGAGGGGGATACAGCATTCCCTGGTGGTCCAGTGGCATGGAAAGTACAGAGGGGCCCGCAGCAAGCGCTTACTTACCTTCCCAGCAGCTCCCTTCAGCTCCCTGTCTAAATCTCGCGGCCAGTTGCCATGGTAACCCGTGGCAATGCCCTGAAGGCCGCTGGACCTGCGAGATTTACACAGGGGAGCTGAAGGGAGCTGCTGGGAAGGTAAGTAAGCGCTTGCTGCGAGCCCCCCAGGACCGCCGGTCTTGTAATGGGCCTGGTGGTCCTGCTATGTATTATCGGCAATATCGGTATCTCTATTGGCCAATACCGATATTGCCGAAAATACTGAATATCGGCCAGACTGATAATCGGTCGATCCCTACTGCAGAGCCTTTCATTAATCAAAGGATCAATCCATGTTGCAAACCATCTGCCTCCTTTCACATTCCTATACCATTTACATTATCCCTTCTGTCATCTGACCTTGCAACCAATTCATATATTCACTACACAAATTACATTAAATGGCAATATTTCATAGTGCAACAATGAATGATGCACCCTTGGCGTGACAATGATTGTCATCCAATTTTCAGCAGGTAAATGTTTCCCTGTTGCATAAGCTGTTTGGCAAATACCAAAATATAATATTTTACCTTGTGGCACAAACATTTTTGTGTCCTTCCTGTAGATTACCTGCAAAATAAATGCATAGTGGGTGTTATTGCTTTGCATTATTTTCTGATCGACATGTAAGGGTCTGACTAGAGCAGCGATGGCGAACCTATGGCACGTAGCCAAATATCGCCTGGATATCCAAGCGCCGGCCCTGCTGAGTGCCTTCACGGACCGGAGGGTGATCAGAGATCTCCATCACCGGTCTGCAGGCACATTGACGGCATTGGAGGGAGAGGAGACCCGGGAGCTCTAGCTTGCAGCTCCGCCGGGTCTCCTCTCGCGAGCACCGAGCATTGCAGCGGTTACCGTGGATCTGCAGGCTAGAGTTCACTCCCCACTAGAACCGACAGGGATTCTCCACTGGACCACCAGGGCATCACAATCGATATCCCCTCTCCCTGGGCAAAAGTAAGAAGGGAGTGGGGATATAAAGCATATTTTTTAAAATAAATTTAAAAAAACAAACAAAAAAAACACACATTTGTTTTGATCAGCCCCCAACTACACACACTGCACCCCCATACACACACTGCCCCCACTGCATCCCCATACATACACTGTCCCCACTGCATCCCCATACACACATACTGCCCCCACTGTACTCCAATAGACACTACACCCACTGTACCACCATAACCACACTGCACCCCCAAACAAAAATAAATTTAAAAAAACAAACAAACAAAAAACCACACATTTGTTTTGATCAGCCCCCAACTACACACACTGCCCCTGCACCCCCATACACACACTGCCCCCACTGCATCCCCATACACACACTGTCCCCACTGCATCCCCATACACACATACTGCCCCCACTGTACTCCAATAGACACTACACCCACTGTACCACCATAACCACACTGCACCCCCAAACAAACACTGCCCCCACTACACCCTCCTACACACAGTGTTCGCACTGCACCCCATGCACACACTACACCCCTAGTTCAGACAACTGTATGAGTTGTTTTTTCTAAACTTAAACCTCACTATTCCGGTTTAGTTGCCGTGTTGGCACTTTGTGGAAAAAAAGTTGGTTTGTATTGTGGTTTTGGCTCTCGGGCTCAAAAAGGTTTGCCTTCACTGGACAAGAGTTTCAAAACCGGTCTCTGGACTTTGTGACAGTTGCATCCACTGTGAACCATCTGGAGTAACAACAGAAGCCTGTGAATGAGTTGCTGTTGTGACTGGAGACAACATTCTCAGGGAATCTGCAACTCTCTGCCCAACTGGAGGCAAAGGGGGTTGAGATGGTTGAGATGAATGCTGCTGTTGGAATCGATCAATTGCCTGCACTACTGGAGCTTATCAGCTCTCTCACACCCGCTCCTCCTCTCTTTACACTAATAAATATTATGGATCGTAGATCTCATCAACAGAAATCTGTATCTGAGGGCCAACACAGAGACATAGGAGATATGTATCTCTGGTCTGCACCACCTGAAGACCCACCAGTAGTGAAGCTGTCATGAAGCGGACAGTGAAAACAAGAGGTGATAGCTCCTCAGAGTCTGATGACATACCATCCACCTAAAAGATGTCAAAAACCTTTTATTCCACATTAAAGGGACTCCCCAGTGCCAGGAAAACAAACCGTTTTCCTGGCACTGCAGGTCCCCTCTCTCTCCCACCCCTCATCCAATGTTGCTGAAGGGGTTAAAACCCCTTCAGTGACTTACCTGTATCCAGCGCCGATGTCCCTCTGCACTGGGTCAGGGTCCGCCCACGCTCCTCCCCCGCCTACGTCATCCGGCAGGAGAGACCTATTGAGCTTCCCTGGCCAGCGGCAGGGGAGATCAAATGTGAATACGTGGCAATGCCGCGCACGCGCATTAGACCTCCCCATAGGAAAGCATTGAATAATGATTTCAATGCTTTCCTATGGGGATTTCAGCAACGCTGGAGGTCCTCACATAGCGTGAGGACGTCCAGCAATGTTATAGCACACTTTTCGTGTTCTAGAAGACAGCCACTAGAGGAGGACCTAACCCTTCAAGGTAAATATTGCAGTTTTCACTTGCAGGGTTAAGGGTAGTGGGAGTTGGCACCCAGACCACTCCAATGGACAGAAGTGATCCGGGTGCCTGGAGTGTCCCTTTAAGTAAATGTTTTGATCCGAGTTATACGCTGTTATATTATTATCTATGCTGTATCACAGGGAGAGTCACGACTGCAAAAGAGGACATGATGGACCTATGTCAAATGGTGAAAATATTCAAGCAAATTCAGACTGCACAGCCTTGTTGACATGTTGGATGACATGATCCATAGAATATCCGACATCGTAATAGCTGAGGAGTTACCTAATTTCTCAGGGCATCTTGTAACCTTTCTTCTGCCTACCAAGCAAGCCAAGGCCATGACCTTAGATGGAGCTTACCAGATTGTAAAGTCCCAAGGAGTCCGACATTGGCTCCTCATGACATCATCATGCATTGTCATACATTCAGCGATTACCAAACTACCCTCTGAATCCAGGACTTCCAAGGCTTGTGTTTGGGATTTCCGAAAAGTTACTCTATTTGTCCCAAGAGTATGAGACAAACACAATGATAGTAAGGGAGAAGGATTGTGTCTGTATTTCTTTGCCTTTTAAGTTTAAACTTTTCCTCTGCTTGCCTTAATTAAATTTTTGCATTATACTTACTGCTCATGCCAATTTGCATGCCACACCAAGTGCATTTTACTGATTTGCCAAGTGAACCTTGAATATTGGTCAGTTATTTAGGATACTATTTTAACCACCCCACACACACACACACTCAAGCCTGAAATTACACTATTCCCAGACTTTTACCCAATCACCTCTACGTCGACAGACACTTCACATGGTTCAATAGCTCAGTTTATGTCTTAATTTGGGGATCAGATTATAATGACACCTGTCTTATGTATACTGTAACATGGATTCTATTATATATGCTTTCTTTGATATTTTACAAACATATTGGTATCAAGCATTGTTTTGCACTGTCTATTGTGCTGCATCTCCCGCAATTAAAGGATCACTATAGTGTCAGGAAAACAAACCCGTTTTCCTGACACTATCCTTGGGGGACCCTCACCCTCAGGGTTCCCCTCCCGTGGTGCTGAATCAGCAGCTTACCTTAAAGGACCACTATAGTGCCAGGAAAACATACTCGTTTTCCTGGCACTATAGTGCCCTGAGGGTGCCCCCACCCTCAGGGATCCCCTCCTGCCGGGCTCTAGGGGGTGGAAGGAGTTAAATTTACCTCTTTTTCCAGCGCCGGGCAGGGAACTCTCCTCCTCCTCCTCCTCTTCCATAGCGCCGTCATCGGCTGAATGCGCATGCGCGGCAGGAGCCAGTCCATAGGAAAGCATTCTCAATGCTTTCCTATGGATGCTGGCGTCTTCTCACTGTGAAAATCACAGTGAGAAGCGCGGAAGCACCTCTAGCGGCTGTCAATGAGACAGCCACTAGAGGCTGGATTAACCCTATTATAAACATAGCAGTTTCTCTGAAACTTCTATGTTTATAGCCTAGCTGGACCTGGCACCCAGACCACTTAATTAAGCTGAAGTGGTCTGGATGCCTATAGTGGTCCTTTAATCCAGCACCAGGATCCCTCGGCGCTGGTGACCTCTCCTCCCCTGCCAACGTCAGCTTCCGAGTGGAGTGGAATCCGCATGCGCGGCAAGAGCGTGCATTCTAACAGTCCATAGGAAAGGAAAGCATCCTATGGACATTCTGCATGCAGAAGCGCCTCTAGTGGCTGTCAGGAAGACATCCACTAGAGGTTGGATTAACCCTGCTATGTAAACATAGCAGTTTCTCTGAAACTGCTATGTTTACATGTGAAGGGTTAAAACCTGAGGGACCTGCCACCCAGACCACTTCTTTGAGCTGAAGTTGTCTGGGTGACTATAGTGAAATAAAAAAAATGGAGAAAGCAGAGGATGCATAAGGGATAAGGGAACAGTGGATAGTGCCATGGAGGCACAAACCTCCTGCTTCTCCTCTACACTATAAAGTCTAGTAGGGCATAAATGCCAGGGAGTTCATAACCTCTAAAATAAGAAGTAGCTCTGTTACGCCCAATTTAAAGTAGCTCTGTCACTTCAAACTTGCCTTTCTCCTATGGTTTCCTTTTATCTTCTTCTTTCAGAATCTTTTCTTCCTTTCTGATCTATTGCTCTTTAAAACATAAGACAAAGCAGGAACTAATTTGTCCTATGTATTTTTCCTACATTTTAGAATTTCACAAAGGGTTGAACTTGAGTTAAGCCCCGCTAGCTTGACAATATCCAAACTTGGCATTTCTGCCACTGGCACAATATACTTTCTAGGTGACTAAGAGTTGATATCACTTACATTTAAAAATGGCAGAAAATAGGGGTTCAATGGAAAAAGCAAAACAAATGGGCTGAGAGGTGGGTTTTAAGGCACTTCTTAAACGATCGAAAACTAGGAAGGTAGACGCCCGTGAGAAGTACTGCAAGTGTGAGTTGGCCATACGGGTGCGAGCAGCGGACAGGAGAAGGTCACGGGCAGAGTGGAGAGACCGGGAAGGGGCATACCTACGGATCTGTGAAGAGATATAAGGGGCTAGAACTGTTCAGTGCTTTATAGGTATGGGTTAGCACTTTGAATTGACTCCTATAGGATACAGGAAGCCAATGTAAGGACTGACAGAGGGGTGTGGTGTGAGAGGACCGACTAGAGAGGAAAATCAGTCTGGCGGCAGTAGTCATTAAAGACATTACGACCACTTGTGCCGCCTTATGGACGTGACGCGCCATCCCACCCATTCATTATCGGTATTGCAGATGATTATCGGCCGATACCAATACTTACAACAACAACAAAAACAAAAAAATCGGAATATTGGCAAAAACGATAATTGGTCGATCCCTAGTATTTTTTAATGTGAATTTTGTGGAATGGAAAAAAATGTAATAGCACATAATATAACAGATTTCAGTTACTTTGTTAGTGAGAGATAATAGATATGAGTCAACACCTAACAAAGGTAAAGGAGGAAAGAGAATAGCCATATTATTGATCCTTAAATGGTTGGACTTAAAGGGACACGATAGTAAACAGAACAACTACAGGTTAATGTAGTTGTTCTGGTGAGTATAGTCAGTTCTTGCAGGTATTTTCATGTAAACAGAGAAAAGGCAGTTTTTACATTACTACCTAGGGACACCTGCAGTGGCGGTCACACACTGCATGAAGGCGTTGAACTTTCCCCATAGAGCTGCATTAATTCAATGCATCTCTATAAGGAGATACTGATTGGCGCAGAACGTGCACATTAGCTTCCCAATACTTTCCATTGGTCAAGATCGCCAATTTTGATAATATCAGCCAGGGATGCAGGGGGGGGGAGGGGGTGGCAGGAGAGTATAACAAAAATGACAAAATCACAACATTCTGCATGCATTACCAAAACATGTGCAAATATGCATAAAATCAAACACAAAAATCCAGTAACAGTGTGTGGAATGGTTAACAAGATCTGTGGAGAGTAGGGTAATTCTCAAGCACCTCTCCAGGCCATCTAGTATCACTGCAGGTAAAAGGTGATAAGGAAGTGGGGTTGGCTATTCTTGGTAAAATTGCAGAAAAGGTGACAGGAGCATCTATAGAAAGGAGAGGAAGCTTCTGCCTGGGAGCAAATAAGGCACACATACTGTTTATGTACAGTTAGATAGTAAAGAATATTTCTTAAAAGAAACAGGCAATTAAGAACAATACAATATCCTAGCTTGAAAGTCATCAGGCACAGAATATCAAAGAACCTTGATTTGCAACCTAGGCCCATTGGGTAATCACGACACAAATAGTACAATTATATTACTGTACACCAAGCATGTCAAACTCGCGGCCCAGGGGCCGCACGCAGCCCACAAGGACCATCTTTGTGGCCCGGCGAGCCGCAAGTACATGCTGGTGTTAAAGCAGAGTAGGCACCTGCTTTCCCCACATTACAGGTGCCTACTCTGCTAACATTTACCTGGCCGGGGTACCTGACCCTATAGTGTTAAAACCACCATCTAGCCCCCCTGGGTCCTTCATGCCTCCATAAATATAGCAAAATCTGACTGTATTCAAGCCTGAAGCTGTAGATCTGCATGCTGTTTGCCTCAGAAAAACAAGCTGTCAGCTGACATCATCAGAAGTGGTGGCTTGATCCAATCACAATGCTTCCCCATAGGATTGGCTGAGACTGACAAGGAGGCAGATCAGGGGCAGAGCCAGCATGATTCAAACACAGCCATGGCCAATCAGCTTCTCTTTATATAGATGAATTGAATTAATCAATCTCTATGAGGAAAGTTCAGTGTCTGCATGCAGAGGGTGGACACACTGAATGTTTGGATGCATTTTAGGCAGCCATGACCCAGGCAGGATCTCTAACAGCTATCTGAGGAGTGGCCAGTGAAGTTATTACTAGGCTGTAATGCAAACACTGCTTTTTCTCAGAAAAGACAGTGTTTACAGCAAAAAGCCTGAAGGTAATGATTCTATTCACCAGAACAAATTCAATAAGCTGTAGTTGTTCTGCTGACTATAGTGTCCCTTTAATGTGAATATCTTCTAAATCCATTGTTGTGTATCAAAATATTGATTCCTATTATTGCAAACAGTTTCATTTTCTGTGGTCAAACATACTTTACAAACAACCTCATACTGTGAAAAGCTGATCTCTTGCAGGTGCCGTCACAAACAGCTGGCACCTTACATTTAACACCTTACATTTTGTCTGCCAGACAAAGCAGGACATATAATTACCTCCAGCTAATGGCTTGCGGCAGGGTCCTCAGACAGTCCCCTGTGAAGTGTGGACAGCGTCGTAAACTGCCAGCGGCATTCAGATGTATATCAAAAGTGATGCTATCATTGAGTATGTTGGAGCACTGGCTGGCACACTGGAATAAAACTGCAAGGAAGCACTGCAGAGTCTGCCACTTACAATGCTGCTTTGAGGTTCTTGGTGATCCAGCACATAATATATTAATTTAGAGATAGATGGAGGCCACAATGGCCCCTATTTCTTATTAACAATCACCCCAGCATCTACTTTTAGATGCCTCTGGCCCTTTTCAAATATGGAGAAACAAGCAGGCATTATGTTCCTCTACCCAGGTCTGATGAGTGATGTAAAAGTCATAGGAGCCAGAGGGAAGCTATCTGTGACTCATCTGTACACTCACAAAAGGTAAATGGCCTAAAAAGGCTCAATGAGAGCTCTCTTCTCCTTAATTGGTCTGTGAACTTTAATGCCACAGGAGGCCCTAATGCGGTGGAAATCCAGGCAGCTTTATGCTTCTCGTCTCCTCCAGGTGCAGACTACATAGACAGCCTGCTGAACCACAGAAATCTGAATGACACCCCGCCTCCCTAAAGGTAACAAGTGGAAGGGAACATTTTATTTAACTTAATTAAGCCCCCTATCCCACTCCTTATACACACACGCTAAAATTTAAGTTTTATGTGAACGTGATGTATAATGTTAAAGTTATAGAAAGTGTGTAAAATGTGTTATCTCTCAGGCTAAGGGGAGGAGAGGTGTGGAATGTAACCAGTTGTAGATGGGATAATTCTTAATTGTCTGTGGGTGTCTCCCTTCATGGGAGAATTGCATAAAAGTAGAGTATGTCATTAAACCTTAGACCTGCTTGACCCTTTCTTGAAGCCTTGGCTCATGCTTGGGGGATGGGATAACTACACTCTGGGGATTGCTATAATCACACTATACTCCCCAGGGTAAGCTCTTGTAAGAGCTGTTCTTGTTCCTGCTACGCTCTCTGGAGGAAGAGAGGTCTGCCCACTGGAAGCTGGATCCTGGCCTTGGGTCCAGGGTGGGTAAAGGAAGGCGAGACCCCGGTGCAGCTGCATCGCTGGAAGTGGGGTCTGCAGTGCTGATGGTGTCGGTTGGAGTGCTTAGAGTCCTCGGCAAGCACTAGGAACACTGATTGGCGGAGGTACTCGGTCGGAGTGCCGGCATTCCGTCACAATAACCCCATATACACATACTACATCTACACACATTTTACCCTAGTATATACACATGCCCAGTATTTTATTATTAGCATTTTGTATAACGTAATATGGACACTTTACAATAAAATGGGAATATTTGACAAGTAATTAACATGAGGAATATAACAGACAAGAGGTGAAGAAGGCCCCGCTCAAATTAGTTAATTTATTATGAGATAAGTTTATAATCCATGAGCTCTATACACTATTCTTCTTCTCCTCAAGTCAGAGTTAGTACAGGTATTCTGTATGATAAGGGGGTTGTTGTTTTTTGCAAAAAAGAAGGGAATAGGCGCTCACTAAATAAACTGAATATGGGCAGCAGTGAACCAGCAAGAATTCCCAATACCCGCTAACAATAATAAAACAATAAAAACAAAAAGTGGTAAACCGCGCCAAGATAGTATAAAAGATAGAACAATTAAAATATATACATACAGACAGTCCTGTGGTTAGGGATATATAAAACCCTCAAAGAGAAATAAAAAAAAAACAATAATAGTGCAATATGTCAAACGAATAAGAACATATATAAACTAATAGAGGACTCACTCACACTTTGCAGAGCTACTCAGAGCTCTGCCGTACAGCGCCTGGACAGTACAATCCCCGTCTCTTGATATAGATGATGATGATGTCCAATCCTCCACAGTGGTATATGTATTTTTTTTCAATTTTTCATCATATTTTTTTTAAATTAAATTACATGAGATTATATAAATAATGGTATGTAAAGAAAGCCCCATTTGTGTCCAGGAGGGCGGCTTGCTTGGGTTCCTGGTAATACTGGCTGAGGCTGATGAGAGAGTTGTTGTTTTTTGCATATAAACTGGTGTGTGTAAAAAAAATTCTGACTATGCATATATGTTAGTGAGAGTGTTTGTATGTCAATAAAAGTATATGAGTTAGTGAGAGTATGAAAGCAGCATTGTGTATGTGTGTCTGTGCCCTTTCCTTAAAGTGACCCATATACAGATTTATATATAATATTAAAAACGGTTTTACTTAAAGGGATACTGTAGTGCCAGGAGTACAAAGCTGTATTCCTGGCACTACCGATCCCAATGCCTCCGCTCATGCCCCCCCTCACCCCCTGGTAAATAAAGAGTTAAAAACCCTTAATTTACTTACCTTATCCCAGCATCAATGTCCCCTGGCGCTGGGTCGAACCCTTTGCCCCCTACTCCGCCCAGCGACGAACGGGGTCTAATGCGCATTAATGCTTTCCTATGGGGGGAGAAAATCTGACGCTGGAGGTTCTCATGCAGAGTGTGAGGATGTCCAGTGTCAAATAACGGACAGAGAGTCCATTTCGATTCTGGAAGCTGCCCCAGTGGCTGTCTGGTAGAACGCCACTAAGGGCAGACTTAGTGCTGCAATGTAAACATTGCAGTTCTCTGGAACTGCAATGTTTAACATTGCAGCACTATGTGCAAGAGGGACACTGCACCCAGACTACTTCAATGAGCTGAAGTGTTCTGAGTGTCTACAGTGTCCCTTTAAATAGAACCTATCAGACAGAATCACTGTAACATATGTACCCTTGGTAATATGGTCTGTGAGGGGGGAGATACCATGCGGAGTTACAAATTTTCCTGTTGCCTTGTCAGAAAAAATATATATAAATATCTACACTAAATTAGTGTAACAACTTCAACTTACAAATGAAAAAACAAAGTAGGAATAATTTCAGAAAAACTAAACTGTTTAATTATATATTTATAATCTTTATTTCCTGGTCTATACATAGCAGTAGTTACTGAAAGGTTAGCTCCACCCACTCATCCAATGACAGGAAATAATTTCAATAATTTAAAGAATTAGGACAGAATATAGGACCTCCTCTTCCTTTTATCCACAGTCTATTTTCCTGTCCTTGCAGCCGACTGACAGATCTACGTTTAACATGGAAAGTTTTTATTTTATGACCCATCTGCTAGAACGTTCACTATGAAGCTCCCCAGCAAGAGTTCAGCCTCTCTCTTACTGTACAAACCAGAAACCAGTCACTTCACTGGGTTAATCTGACAGTCTAATATTAGACAAGCTGCTATTCATAGAACCAATCGGTTTAATCAGTTACTGTAAGACACATGCGGTCTTTGGGCAGGAGAGAGCTAGGGGACCCAAATTACCTTGTTTTCTTTTCTGTAGGTAGAGCTATATCCTCTGGTGGAACGCAGCAAGCTTGCTTCGGCAGTTAATCTGTTTGGGTGTACCAAGATGGCCGCCACACATGCTCAGTAGCAATCCTAATGATTTTCTATTAGCCAGGAGTTAAGATGGTGGATCTTCAGATAGAGGGTCAAAACCAAATCGGAAAACACTTTCCTAGGGTTTTTTTTTTTTTTAGATGAGGTATTCATATTTGGCGCACAAGTTGAATTTTCAGCATTCTAAAGGTGGGTTTTTAGTGCCCAATCTCGTTTTTTGTTAGTTTGGTGAGTATATATATATATATATATATATATATATATATATATATATATATATATATATAAAAAATTATCATTATTTCGAAACTGCCTGGAAGAGGATGCTGGAGTTCCTCAAGAATTCTCCCGAAAGCCTCAGCTCATGGCATGGATAGCATCAGCCGTATAGTACAAAGGTATTAAGGAGGCAACATGGGATTGAAACCTCAAATGAGATGGCAAGATACACAGTCACCAAGTGACAGATATGAGGAACCATCTGACCTGGCCAAGAATCCCTGGAGAGGCATGCACTAGAACAAATAATCTCCATGATCAGGGATATACTGGCATTCCCTCAGGATAAGGTTAAACCCCAAGCAGTGGACAAATATTTTGAATATGTGAGACCTAAGAAATTTCAATTCCAAGTCCATTCAGCAATTAAAGATCTGAATTTTTTTTTTTTTCATGTCATGCCTAAAAAAAAGGTTTTCCCAGAGTGGATTAATATTTGGTTCTACACTCAAGATAGAAAGGGAGGCAGCTATCCACATACTCATTTAGGACATCCAGTGCCACGAACAGACACACGGCACACCCAACAGCAGTTATATTTAATAAATTAACCGCCCGGAGCATAGAACTCCAGAAACATCTACACTTGGAGGCTCCGCGCACCCTGCTCTTGATGTGTCATGCATTCTACACACATAGGGATAAATGTGGAAAGACATTACCCAGGGCCCTTAAACATAGATTCCATGCATTTTTCAGATAGGTATAGACAGGTGAAGACATTTTATGAACAAATCTATAGTGGGAGTGTTCTGCTCCTTTTATAAGGATCTACTGTGATGGGATTCCAGCATGGTCAAAATTTAGTAGTCCGAAATCTCCACATGGCATATGCTAATTAGTATCTGATTACAAACAGTTGGATAAGTCATAAGTATACTGAGCATGTGTGGAAGCAGATAGTACATTCCTTTGTCTGTAAGTGCGCATAATAAAGGTTATAGAGATAGATGTAATGCCAAAAACAGCCATTACAGGCACAGTAATCAGAACAATGGACCACCCCCGGGTTAGCCCCCCCCATATTGAGAATTTTAACAAAAGATTATTCCATTTGTTAGATCTTTGTTAGATCAGGTTTGATCAACAATTTTTTTCGTCACGCCCACAAAGTTAAGTAGTGAATACCGCCTCTTGCGTGATAGATCTAACGAAAAAAACAGTTGATCAAACCTGATCTAACGAATAGCTACCAAAATCAGTAACATTTTGTCCAAATTTCAGTTGAGGGGGGGGCAGCCCCCCCTAATTATATATGTAATATCTCAGTAATTAGACTAGATCAAACAAAAATTTTGCCTGATCAAACCTGATCTAACGTAGAGCTATCATAATCAACAACATTTTCTCCAAATTTTTGTTAAGGGGGGGCTGGCTACGGGTTAGCCCCCCCCGACAATGATTGTTAATATCGCATATTTTAGAGTAGATCTAACAAAAACATTTTTATAACATGACAGGAGGCTTCATATTTGCATTAACTTTCTTTACTAGCTCCATAGCAGCAAAGAAAAAAAAAAACTCTTAAAGAAAAGAACCAATCAGAATGAAACAGAGGATATATAAGCCCATGCATATCCCATCATTCCCTCTTTCTTTGCTGCTCCATCACAAGTACAGGTCAGAGTACTACTTCTGTTTTACTATTGTTTACTTTTCATTATTTATGGTTTTAGATAACTGATTGTGGTATTTGTAGTGGGGGTGGTGAGGGCTCCTTTAATTGAGGGCTCCTTTAATGCTTGAGGGCTCCTTTAATTAGGGGCTCCTTCACTGTTGTGGGGCAGATTAGTTCCTTGAGGGTACCCCAGTACACACTCTAAATACCCCTCTCTCCCCACAACCCACTCCTTCCCCCCCCTCCCCCCAGTGGCAACGTTCGCCACCTTTGTCTACCGCCCGGCTCACACTGCTGTGTGCACGGAGCCGGGCAGGCTGAGGCAGCATACACACGGAGGGCAGCCTCTATACAGCCGCCCTCCCAGTGCTGCCTCTTCTCCGTTCGCGCACTACTGAGCGCGAACGGAGGTTGTATTTCCCGCCCTGCTGTCAGTCAGGACTCGAGGGAGGTCCAGGGCTGCCTCCGTTCGCGCTTTACAAAGCGCGAACGGAAGCCTTCTCCCTCTCCTTACTGCCTCCTCTCCGTTCGCGCAATACATAGCGCGAATGGAGGTTTTGTTTCACACAGTGCTGCCTCCTTTCGCGCTTTACCACAAAGCGCAAACGGAAGCCTCTTCCCCATTGTGGATTCCTCCGTTCGCATTACACAGCGCGAACGGAGGTGTATGTGCACATACCTGCGTTCGGCAGTTTATTCGAATAAACTTGCCGAACGCACCTTTGCCTCCATTTAACCCCGCGCATTTTTCCCGGGCTTTTAAAGGGCCAGACATCGCGAGAATCGCGGGGGCCATTTTGTGGGTGCTGTGATTGCTGTGGAATGAGCCTGTGTTCTGGAGAGCTCCTGGGTTTGCCTGCTAAAGCTGCTGAAAAAGTGAGTTTTACTGTTAGAGCCTTAAAGGGGACCTGTATATTTTGGGTTTGTTAACCCTTTGGGAGTGGAATTGCCAGTCAGTTTTGTACTAGTACCCTGGCACGGGGTGAGCCCCCATATCAGTGCTGCTTACGGGAATTTGTTAAAGCAACTTCCCTCTTTGCTGGGTGAGCCCCAGTGCGAGTCCGACTTTCACGCTACTAAGCGTTAACCCTAACCGGCCGCCGGCCTCTTATTCATACCCTCCCATATCATCCCCATACCTCTCCGCCCTGTGCCTGCCAGCTAATTCATAACATGGAAAAGGAGACACAGATTTCCGCGGACCAGATGCAAGCCATGATTAATGCGGCGGTAGCCGCATCACTGGAAAAGGCCATGGCACTGGTACTTCCGACGGCTTCTGACACCCTCAAGCCGCCTGGCAAGTCTAGTCGCCCCAGGGACGAGTCCGGTGACTCCGATGACTCCTCCCCAGAGAGGCAACGCCCGACGAAACGCCACTGGAAGGGCGAAGGGTCGCGGAAAGCCCCAAAAAAGGGCAAGGCGCCTCTCAAGCGTCAGGCACCGATAACACCCGTGCCTACAACATTTCCCGACGCCTCCTCGGAGGAGGAAGGTGAGATGCCCCATACCCTGTCCGTCCTGGATGAGTGGCAGGCAGAGGCGTCGGATTCGGACGACGGCGATTGGGGATCCAACGCCTATGTCACAGAAACATTCCTGGGTGAGCCCCAGAAGACAGGATTGGCAGAGTCTTCCACGACATCTGCTAGCCAGGAGCAAGAGACTTTCCTGGATACTACGGGACAACGCATGTTCGATCCCAGGAACATCCGCCACCCCCGCTCCGGGGAGTGGGCTCCACCCGACCACCTGGTGAAGTTCATGCACTTCTGGATTCGGAAACCGCTCGAGAAGCACGTCCGCAAGAGGATGCGGGCCGAGTGCCCTAGACCTTCCCTGCCAGAGAAAATGGCGTTTACGCCAGAGTTTGACCAGCTAATGCTAACGTTTATGGAACGGGGTGGTCGCGATCCACGCAGGGGGATCGAACGGAGCTTTAAAGGGGCACAAGACAAGCTCCTAGATGCGATGGGGCCGCTGGCCCGAGTGATGTATTTGGCTGATGACGCCTATACCAGAGCGGACTCGTTTACCGCGGACATGGTGCGCAACTGGGCGCATGATATTAGAGAGTGGACCCAGCGGGGCTTCTGCTTCCTGGGGAATACGAATGCGGCCCTTTCAACAGAACGGCGCCGCACAGCACTGTTTCGAATTGACCCGAAGCTGGCCGACCTTGGGATCAAAGAATTAGGTCCCCTGGCACAGGGCAAACTTTTCGGAGAGGCGTTTATGAAAGAGCTCAATAAACACGTGAACGTGTTCACGTCCCTAAACAAGGCTCGTACCTCTATGAGGAAAGTCTTCAGGGGCAACCCCTCCAGGGGTGTTTTTTCAAGGGCTGGTCGGCAGCGGGGCCGTGCCACCAGCCGCTTCTGGCCATCGGGCCCCCGCACTGGACCTCCGCAACAGTTTTACCCTCAACTGTCCTACCCGGATTCCGGAACGAGGCAGTCTTACTCCCACTTCCAAAGGGGAACAGATAGAGGCCGGGGAGCCCGCGGACGTACCCGCGCACGATTTCCCACAGGTAAGGAAACCAAACACACCTATGTCTTTAATAACCATGACTGCCGGCCGTGTTTCTCTTTTTTCCCAGAATTGGGCAGGTCTCACCACGGACGCATGGGTGTTGCAAACGGCCGGGGGCTATCGCATCGAACTGCAGTCGCGCCCCGTGCAACACGGGCCTCCACGGCCCCTATGCCTCACCACCACGGATTCCCAACTCATCGAGTTGGAACTGGACGAACTCCTCAGGAAAGGGGCGATACAACCCGCACATACCCCGGGGGGTTATTTCAGCAACATGTTCCTCGTGCGAAAAAAGACCGGAGACTTCCGACCGGTGATCAATTTACGAGACCTGAATGCCCACGTGGTCTACCGCCATTTCAAGATGGAAGGCATCCACCTTCTAAGGGACTTGCTACAAGAAAGGGACTGGTTTACGCGTCTGGACCTCAAAGACGCATACCTATCGATTCCTATTCACATAGACAGCCGGCCACTACTTCGTTTCCTCTGGCACGGATCCCCGTGGCAATTCACCTGCCTCCCTTTCGGACTCAGCTCAGCCCCCTGCTTCACGAAAATGCTGAAACCAGTGGTAGCTCACCTCAGGGCTCGAGGCATCAGATGTATCATCTATTTGGACGATAT